AAACTAAACAAATTCATTAAAATGCAGGATGTTACAACTATTGTGTGCTACGACTTGGAGTAAAGCACAAAATAAACATACTTTATATACTTTATCATTGCTGTTTTTGACGGGTATATAATTTAATTAATTAGCAGCCATATAAAAATACAAAGTGCGCCAAATTTATGTATTTGATCTCTTTAATGATCTCATAGTTTAAAATGATATTTATCACAGACCAACTGTAACAATACAGCTGCACCAAGTTGAATATTACCTTTTGCATGACTGGGAGAGAAAATAGTGCGGCCTAATCTTTGTGGTTTCAATGAAGCCCGGCCGTTTTTTTCCCGGATATATTTTAGACGTGTCCATTTCACACTTAGTGCTTCATTCTATGGTCAAAAATCACGCGTGGACGGCGCACAAATACCGTCAGCAATCACAGCCTATTTGCAGAGTTCCTGATTCACACTTTACATAAAGGCAACCTTGTTATAAACTATTTCCATCTGCACATGTTCGCAACCTACCATTTTAAAATTCATCTCTGTGACACCTCGCCATCACCACGGGGCAAGATTAAGGATCCGACCAACAATAATTAAGGGACACCCAGATGCGATTTACCCCCTCCCGCACCCACACTTACACTCGCCTGTAACGACAATACTTATTCTTTTAAGTATATGTTTATAAGATGAGTTCCCGATATGAATTCGGAAAAGTTTCGTCCTAAAGACAAGTGAGCTCCCGTTTCCGGGATTCCGTGATTCGGGGGCTGAATTTCCACTATATTGTTTAAATAGAAAAATACATCTCGACGTTTGAAAGTGGCACATGAGACGCGATAATGAGAAGGCTGAGGAGAAGGAAAGTGCTACCTCATTAGGGTAATGACTGCGACATCCCCACCATTACATCAGTGGTGGCAATTAAAGGGCCCTGCACGCGCTCCTGGAGGCTACGGCGCGATCCAATTCTCTGAAGCCCGCGTGTTACAGCTAATCCGTGTCATGTAAGTGAAAGGGCCGAACATCTTCGTTTAATTTTCAGCTCCCCTCCCCCGTGCTCTTTTCTTCAAAAAAAAGGTGTTTCCCAACCACATGCCTACCATTAAATAATGTGCTTTCGCCACGAAAGCTCGTCACTATAAAACAGCGTAACGAAATTTGATCGACCTCTGAAAAAACGGCAGCGAATAAAGCATTCTGCTTAATTCTGAAGTTATATTTTCTTTCATTTTAGTTTCGCGATTAAATTTGGGACGGAAAATAATCATTCCTAATTATTGCGCTATTATAACTATTCGAAAATAATTTTCAAATGTTATCTCATACTTGTAAAGCCACGTGGCAGCGTGCTGTCACCATGTTTAAACATAAATGTTTTTCTATGCATCACTCTCATTTTAAATGTCATTGCGGTGATGCTTTGCCCTTAATTGGCTCATTTATGCGACGGTAATCACTTCGTAACTACCTACACATAACGAATTTGCCTGTCACTGTAACAAACGGCGTTGAATATGCGAAGAGAAAGTGTGGCATTGAAACTAACGCAAAAAAAGGATATATCTACGGGACTAGGGGAGAAGGCGCCGCAGTCACTAGTCGTTATTTGGGTGAATTTTGGCTATGAACTGCTATAATTTAGATTGCTGGGTGCACAAGAAAAGCAAAAGTGTTTTCCAAACAAGGCGGCATGCTCTTAAATAATATGCCTGCAAAGAAATGTGTTACTCTTCTGCGAACACTGGTTCTGCATAGTGTGAACGTGTTACGTCGTAAATATATCTGTTATTAGCAATGAGCGCACTGTAGTCCCCTGACGGTATTTGGTTAGCTAAATTCAGTCATTTAAAACCCAGCACAGAACGGTTCATTAGCCCGTGTCAAGGAGTCAGGTTACGTCGTGTGGCATCTTTTAATAAGTAACTGAGTTACTTGTTTGACATAAGCAGGGATCGAGACACAGATTCCATCCGGGACCCGACCCCTCCTGTTTAATGTTTTCGTAAAAATGCGCATTGGGGAAATACTGGGTGAAATAAATAATTATCCGAACTCGCGCCGAGAAAAAACTCGCTAAGTATCGAACAAGAGGAGAGCACTATTTTAAGTCAATACTGAATACTGAACGTACGAGACGTCTATGAAGAAATCGCTGAGTCAATTATAATTAATGGATTCTGCCCCCCCCCCTCCGCCGTCCTTCTCAGCAATAAATAAATAATGTTTAGAACTCATACATAAGATTAAATATGTATAGCAACTAGTTCTGAATTATTTAAAAAATTAGTTCCAGTGCCCTAAGATGTGTTTTTGCCTTCTGTGTTTGGTGTCATTCCTAAGCGCCTTTATTACCCACGTCACACGCCCTCCATTGGAGTTTGCATATCTCCAACTCACTGGGGGGGGGAGCATAGTAAATTCTTTAAAAAAGAAAGAAAGAAAACATGATACATGATATATAAATAAATTAATAAGAACATTGATTTGAGAGAAACCGTAATTAGATGTGTCCTTGCGAGAACAATTGTATTTGCTAAAAAAGTATTTGCGATCCCGTCAATTTGTGTTACATTAGATTAATGGCAAATAGGTCTGTACGTTGCACTTTCTCTTAACATTAAAGTTGGTGTTGTGTAGACGTATTGTTTTTTTTTCCAAAATACAAATTTGAATGTTTTACTGTTTTAAATGTTTTGTTTTCAACAATCATTCTTCTGCCTGAAACACGTCCAGTGCTTGGTGTCTTTAACTTTCGGGGGGAAAAAAGCATCTTCATGATATGACTTTTTTAAAAAGATATTTTAAGATTATAAATAAAAATAGTTTTTCTTTCTGTAATCGGTTTTCGAGTCATACTGGTGGTGTCTGGGAATTCATTATTGAAGCCCTGTTCATAGCCCTAGTTCATCAATAAGCTGATCGTCAGAGAAGTAACAGGTTCCGTAGGTGGTGCGCGCCTTAAAAATAAATCGCTTTCGAACTTTTATATCTTTTAATAGTCGGATAAAATGTATCCATTTCAACTATTCCCATAACTTTGTAGGTTAACCTGCAATTTAGCGCTCACTCATAATTATGAATTCGGTTCAAATTTCCATCTGTGGAAGAAACTGATGCAAATCAGAAAATGAAATCCCAAAACAAAAATGTAATTCTTAAAAACATCAAACAAAATATAAGTCGACATTCAGCAACTATAAAAGGAAAAAACATAAATAAGTGAAATAAAATATTAGGCCCCGTTTAAATTGTCACCTCCTGAGAATTATGTTTAGCGAGAATCGGCGTTCACTAATCAAAATTTGGATGAGAGTTAAACGACAACTTTACAGAATACAGTAAGGGTAAACTGTTTTTACGGGAATTAAATTGCTTTAACTTGAATTTAATAGCAGAGAAATAAGCAAACGAATTAGAGGATCCCAACACACGTGGCCCGAGGCCTTCCCATCCTTGAGTCAATTCTAATGAAAGCGAAGCCTCACCAAAATCCTCTCAGGGACGAGATCATGCTTAAAAAAATTAATAATAAAATGAAAGTACTTAATCTTTCATGTAATTACGCTCACTCAGGAGCGTTATTTGCTTGGTTCTGTCATTTGAAAGCCACAAGATGCCTCGTTTGCAGAGAGTAGCCTAGATTTTCTAAGCTCCATAAATACGCAGGGAAATGCACGATCCCTTTATTTATTAAAATATGCCTGTGATGCTAGGGGCAGAAAGGCTAATTTATTTTTATACGTCAGTTGCATATTTTACGTTCGTTTCAGTTATACTTGATTGTGTCGCGCGCCTGATTCATTGTTTTTAATTAATGTGATCAAATATTAGCAGACGTCGGAACATAGAATCCCGTCGTGTTTTTAATGCTAATGTGGAACACAAAATATATTAAAATGTACGGCCGGACTTATTCCTCTGGGTAAGAGCTCTTTATGTGGACCGAAATAATTCTCGGGGGATCTTCCTTTTAATTGTTCATATGTAATTTGACTTGTAATTATTGCGATGTCATCCGATTTCTCACGCTGGGACGCCTAGCGCCTGCTGTCTGCGCCAGTGCCGCTCGTCTGACGCGTTCTGCTGCTACGGAACAGCTGCCAGGCAGCGAACGCCTCCCCAGGCCGCGCGCCCCGCTCATCGCACCATTTATCCTCACGGTCATGTGGCCATTAACAGCTCCGCTCTCACCAGCAAATGTTTGCCTTTCGATTTAATGTCAAAGCGCTGAACACTGCCACGATAATAAATAAATAATAATAATAATAATAATAATAATAATAACTTTTAAATTGTGTTATAAAAACTGTGTTTATATTTTTCTCCTGTCTCTCGGATTAAGTTTCCTTAGAAACAATTAATTAATTAAAATCATCACATATTTCGGTGCTAGTAAAAATATAGTTTTATTGTTATTACAGAAGGTTTTTTTCATGAGATCAGTAAGTCAAACAGTCGTAAATACAAACTAATGTTTGTTTGTTTTTCATTTGGCTTACCTAATTATGGAATTAAACGAATAAACGAAATTCTTTATGTTCTACGTAAGCGGATCTCAGACAACACATAATAAATATTTCACCCAGTCTTTCGACATACACAGTAAAATCGGCGGAGTTAAATCAAATCTGAGAGAGATTATACGATCCTTGCGTGCTGTGTTAGAATGTAACTGTCTCAGAGTGGACTTAACTCTGGTAGAGTTGATTTAATCCCGACTTTACCGTGCGTACACTTTGTATCAAAAGTACATGCCAATACGGAAAAAACGTGACGACGAGTGTAAAAGTCTCTGGTCGTTTAACCTTTCTCTGCAATAGAAGAGTCTCTGAGAATCAGTTTGTGTCATTCTTCTTTAATCGACACATTCTTTCCATCTAATAAATTTTTACAAGTTTGTTAGTATCTTAAGTGTATTTGTACAAAACAAAACAAAATGAAACATATATACAGTCCGCGTTTCTGTGTAGACCTTTCTTTAAAAGTTCAATGTCTGTTTGTTTGTTTTTTGAGAACTGAACCATAGTATAGATAGCATTTCTGATCCTCTTTTAACATAGTCGCCGTGTCGTCATTTCGCAGTTTTTGTTCACTTCTGTTCGTCTCTCCACACGAGAATTAGTGTCTATTGGATCGATTTACCGAGGATGCGGCGTGCCAGGAATAGGGTTAGCCAGCGGATTCAAAGCAGGTTGGCCCCCTGACCCAAGACCGTGGATGAGGACCCTTGGAACCAGGGGCCTCTGAAGGCCGGGGTGCGGCGCCGGCGCAGTCCGATACATACTGCTGTACATCGCAGCGGCTGCAGCGGCGGCCGTCGTGCTGTCCATGGTGCCCAACAAACTCGGATGGTAAAAATACGGCGACGGAAACATTCTTTGTAAAGCCGAATAATTTCCAGCTTCAGCAAGCAACTCTAATCCGACTGCGGTCTGTCTCTTCCACTTCGTCCTAAAATTAGATTAAAAAACACAAGTCAATGATTTAACTGGTTCGGACTGCTTCAATTCCCCAAACACCCCTTAATTAGGCAGGTTTAATCACTGGGCGAACAAATTACTGTGTGTTTCCACTAAAGAAATCTGCAAGCCAAACAAAGCGCCGAGTCCCTTTCACAAACCCGCGAAAGTGTTCACTTCTCTTTCCCAAAAAGATAAACAAAAATGAAACTGTCGTGTTATTCTAAAAAATATTATAATAGTTCGTTGGGACAGTGAAAAGAGCAAATGTAGAGTTGTGAGTTTTTATATTTAAGTTATTTTTCAAATGAACTTAACCCACATTACAACAACAGTATACTTGTACAAAGGGGCATGCGGTTTTACAATGTTTAACTAAAAACGAGTTCAATACATTTAAAGTAACACACATTATATTTAGCTCTATACAGTTCTATAATCGAAATCAAAACAGAATATTTTATTCACACATGTCTACTACTTCTTAAAATTCAAACTACCCTCTGTAGTCATATATTTACACACATTTAACGCTAATCTTTTCTGACGTATTGAGGGTGATAGCGAAGACAAGCGCATAAATGCATACTAATATCTGAATACGTTTTTGTGCACTACAAAAAAATGAAAGTTTTTTTAAAATCTATGCAATAATTTTGGAATAGGCCTATATTGCCATGCACCTTTAAGAATAAAGTACCAGTAATTTTTAAATTATAAACGTAATTTAGAAATTAATATTATCTTTCTGTATTTATCTTTTTTTATTTATTACTGCCCAAAAATAGATATCTAAATATATTTTAGAAAAAAAAATCAAAGTTTGAATTCGAATTAAATGCATTTTTAAATATTATATATAAGCTGATTTATAATAACGTATAAATTTAAGCGGCAACTATACGAGACTTTTTGCACTTGATCTGTAAATTTTATTTCAGTGTTTCCCCTTTTATTTATTTATCGACTACAACCGTTATTTTTCTTTCCAAAAGCAAAATCTTTTAACATGGTATAAGATGCAACTTAATTAATGTGTTAATAGGCATAAAACAGGCCTGTAACTAATACCCAGTATTGTAACTGGTAATTGCTATGGTTTCAACTATAATGTCCCATAACGAGTGCAGAAACAAACAAGGCCACGTACCGTCGGTTCTGGTACCACGTCTTCACCTGCGTGTCCGTGAGATTCAGCGCCGCGGCCAAGTCCATCCGATCCTGCACGCTGAGGTATTTCTGACGCTCGAAGCTGCGCTCCAGCTGGTTCAGCTGGTTGTCCGAGAAGGCTGTGCGTGCTTTTCGTGGTTTTTTGGTGCGGATCGGGGGACTTTCTCGGCTGCTCGAAATCTCTCGATCGCCCTCCTCTTTCGTCCCTAAACAGATATATAAAAATTAAAATCACAGAAAATGTCTCACCTTAACATCTTTAAAAACTTTTAAAAAACTAATAAGACACGGCCAGAAAAGAACGTGCCGTTATCACTAAATCATTGAAGGCACTTTCATGCATCAATAGTTTGCAGCAACGACTCTCAACTATATATCACATTATTTTTAAATCTGAATGCGTTCGTTCTTTACGCAATAAAATGTTTCGAGCCATGACATATCTTAAAGAAAGTTGAAACCTGTGAAATTTATTGAAAACCGGCAGCAAAGAGGCGGATTTGAGTTGACGACAGAGACCTAGAGCGCATCGCGGGACCAGACAGCGCGTAGAAAGAATCCGGATTCTATTTGTCAACTTCGGTTTTTTCGCTGAGAAGCGAGAGAATCGATATGTCAATCCATCTCTATTTGTAGCACTTTTTTGCGCTCCGCGGTCTCCCCTGTAGGAAGAACAATAATCTCTCTAATTGACCCACAAGGGAGGCCAGTTCACGAAGAAATCACCAGACAGGCGCTCCCTTCCTGTGTTTTCGGTCCTGTTGTGATGATAGTAAGTACCACGAATCCACACGATAACACTGCACTATACTCTAAAGTGCTATTTGTACTCTATTTGCATAATTTAAAAAATATTTGGTAAATGTGTTTAATTGAAATCAATAAGCCGTGCAGTTTGTTTTCAATGCAAATCTTTGTTCCGTTTAATAAATTAACCGCATAAAATGATCAGAATAAAATGTCAATATCGAATTATTATTATTATTATTATTATTATTATTATTATTATAAATAATAACAATAATAATAATAATAATAATATCACTTCGACGGACACAACAGGCAAAAGTATTGCTAGACTTTAACGCACAATAAATCGTTGTTTAGAGAGACAACCCCAGGTGCGATTTATTTCAACATCCTTTAAAAGACGGAAATAACAGGATAAAATAGTGGCCTTTTAAGAAACGCGAGTATCTTCTTACCGTTACATTTCATGTCGCCGTGAATGTCATCTCTTGTGTCCAGTTTGCTCTTGCTGTCATCTTGCTCCAGTTTTGGCCTGAAGCCGTCCGTCGCGACGTTCTCCAGTTTCGGCGTGTGGTGAGGCGACGACACGCTGGTGCTGTACGGCGCGCATGTGGCCAGCGGTTTGCTGTCCCCCAAAATGTCTTTGATGAGGAAGGACGAAGTGGCTGTCCTGGGGGCAGAGCCGGCAGCGCCGAGCTGCTGCTGCGGCGAAAGCTGCAAACTCTGCTGCTGATTGTGAAGTTGGTGGTGATGCTGCAGGCTGTCTTGGAGCAGATGGGCTTCGGCGTGCTCCATGGTGACCGAAATGGGGGATGACGGAGCAGTTCCCACAGTGTCTATCTCCGAACATGGTGACGGGCTGCCCTGGCTCCTGAAATCCGCGCTCCGGCTGTCCCCCAGACGAAAATCTCCGTTCATCAGCACTGGGCTCCCACAGCCAGTACTATTTGACAAAATAGTGTCTATTCCAAAACTCGATCCGCTGGACGCTTCCATTGTGAGGAAAAAAAAACCAAAATACTTCTTTTTTCTTATTTTGCCCTCATTACGAATTTTAGAATGCCGAAGTTCCCCATTAAATAATAATTATTTTTTAAAAAAAAAAACACAATTAAACGAAGTAACACCGAAGAACCTGGTGGCCAGATTGTATTATGTTGCCTGTAATATTACGAGTGAAAAATGCATAAATAATATTGACCAAATAAATTGCACGAAGCTGTTTCTCGCTCTGCTTTTCAGGTGGACTCTCCAGGAATGATGCTATTCGGTGTGGACTGGGGCACGCAGTGAGCCGATGTAGTCCAAGTCCTTTTGTTCTGTGTATTTAACTTTTTTGCTAAGTTGAGGTGTGGAGAGACTCTAAAGAGCAACTGCTCGCCACCACGCTTCTATTTTGCCCGTAATCGTAACGTTGCTCTACAAAGACTTCCTACCATGACGTCAGAGCCCTTGCAAAGAGACTGATTTTCTCCTTTATTATAATGCGCCGCTAGTTTCACCCCCCCTCTCTTGTCATTGGCTTCAGCGTGACGCCGGCTACATTTAACCAATCAAGCAGTCGCTGCTTTATCTTGTCATTCTCCAGACAGCTATTGAACCTTGAATGCTCTTTTCCGCGCAACTTATGCTGCCGTCTTAAAAGTGCGGCTCCGAGAAAAGGAAAATATTGTTTCACGAGCTTTTTAAATCGATAAAACAAGTGCCACACAAAGCAGAGTAAAACCATCATCTAAAAAAAGTTGCATGTTCAAATTTTGCTTAAGTTGAATAATATTCTATCCCGTCAAAATGTTTCGGAGATAAATTGTTTTTATTGCTCTCTTAAACTGTGTTGTAAAAATGTACTGATAAACAAATTAGGCTAAGAAAACTATAGATTTTGTTTCAAAGCCGCATTTTTTTATTGCAGTAAGATCTTGGTTGTGGGAAATCGCAAATACTCGAAAATGTTTTTGCTTTCTCTGTCGAGTCTTCTCATATGCCAGCCTCGCGGCAATTTTATGATATCATACAGAAAGCGGCCAGACAGACCAAAGCATCTCGTTGAATCTCGGAGTTCTTGTATTGATAGTGGCAGCGGCATTTTGCTGATTAACTACTGTGCCAGGCTAATTAGTGGACTAATTACACGATTATTATTACTGTAATTATAAGAAAAATAAAGTACAATAATTATATTTGAGAAGACAGAACAGGAATTTAAAAGTAATTAGAAATAATCAAAACGTTTTTGTGAGTGTGTTCTCCTGATATTTCGACATTACGGAAGTATTAACCGACGTTAAAATCGTATACAAAGTTGCATATAATGTATTTTCCCGTGTTGGATCATTGTGGCGTATGTTTAATATGGAGTGTTGCACTTTTGAGATCCTCTGTATCGCCATCAGGACGCGCACTTTGCATTAATATGCGCCTTCTCATTATTTTTGCCCGTGAAGATGTTCGCCGCCAGGATGTAATGCGTCTCGGCCCTGGACGTGGTGATGTGATGACGCTCCCCTGAAAACCTCGCTCCTGGACCTTCTGAGCAATGCTGGGCCGTACGGAGGTTCGGTCGATACCGCGGGTCATTCACTGCATAGCACGAGGTTTTCAGAGTTGTGGTTTGTGTTATGGAATTTGTCGCGCGCTCTTTAATTACATGGCTATATATTGTCGCATATTTTTTGCTGAGTGAGAATCTTTTAAAAATATATATATATTCTACTATTGATAATAATAACAATAATAATTATTATCCATCATCTAACATTTTGTAATAATAATAATAATAATAATAATAATAATAACTATTAATAATAATAATAATGATAATATTATAGGTAACCATAATTACAGTATAATTGATCGTCCCTCTGATTTTAGCTTCTTTAAAAAGATAGGCCTAACAGCTGTCTAAAAAGCCAAAAAAAAAGACCGTCTTCCGAATATTAATACAGCTTGTATATCAATGATTCAGATACTTCATTAATAATTTATAAAACATATTTTTATTCTGAGAAGAACTGAGGCGACTTAGGCTGAGAATTGATCATGTTTGCTCATAAATATTATCGACCCAGGAAAGTAGAGAAGTCGCGGGGATCTTTTCAGTCTGACAACCAGATATCGACAAATCCGGTAAGCGCGGAGTGTTTTGGTTTTCATGAAACATTCAATTTGACACATTTAAAGATTTATATTGCATCCACTACAGTTTATTGTTTTTGCTTGGCCGTAATTTTGGCATAACCGCATCTTGACATAATAAATTTAAATACAACACAATGACGCGAAATAAAGCAACTTAGTATCCTAATGGCAATTCTGAACGTTTCTGCAGTGCTGGAGTTCATACCCTATCCACCAGAGCCCGTTAAATACATACAGAACGCTAAATATTTATATCCCACGCGCATGTGGCCAAGTTAATAATGAAACGCAAATATAAAACATATTTTAAAAAAAGAAAACACGGATGGACGCATTTTTATGAAATCAGCACTTAACAGTATATTGATAAATTCGAGTTTCCAAATATTTCAATTCAATTATTCAATTTATCACTTAATTTCTGGACAAAATGTTACATTTAATTTAATTTTTTAAAATGTATATTATATGTGGTGCAATTTGCAAATTATGACTGGCCGCTTATTGAAAGACAACGCAAAACCTTACGAGTAAGACAGCGGAATCCACGAGGATGTTGGTGGCCACAAGGCGGCGACAAAGTCATCAATGTCTTAGTGCAACATTGCGGGCACGTTTTCTGCAAAGTAATTATTTGTCAATGACCAATAATTAAAGATGAAGGTACTGACTGTTAAGCAAGAAGCTCATTTCTGATTCACATACACAGCAACTAGGCACGCTGCGGTTGCATTTAAAGATGTTTGCTAAACAAAAACTTGTTTGGCAACTCAAGTTATGGATTAGCATTATTTTTAGTATTACTGTTCATTTTATTTGAAAAACATACGCTTTTGTAATTACAGGCCAATGCTGTCATAAATAAATCATGGCAATGATTCTGGAGATAAGCTGTAGAAATAACAAAAACTGGACACGATTCATACATAATAAAAACATAGTGGGTGTTAAAACTTAACAAGAAACCTGCAAGCAATTTTTAAAGAGAAGCGCAACTCACTCATAAGTTTATTTTAGACGTTGTTTTACATTTGTGTTTTAGAAAAAAATCCATAAGTGATTAATTTTCCAATGTTCGTTTTGGCTGTACATTGTTTTAAACAAATTTCGATTAGACGGAAATCAAAGCAATGTTTAAACATGCCAATCAATGCTGTGAAAGTAATTTAACATGTTAATTAACATTCAGCTAATTGAAAGAAGTCTTTGATGTATAATCGATCGTGTTATTAGGTTTGCGGTTACTGCTGAAGAAAATTGAATGCGACCAGTTAAAGTATCACACCATTACTCCTTACCGATAGTCGATAATGGGACAGTGGCTTACCCTATATCGATTTTTTTCTCTGTTGTCACTCAGATGCTAGATGCCGAAAGACCAAAACAATCAGAGTTAAACAATTAAAATGATATTTCTGTTTCGACGTAAGAGCAGACGGTGTAAAGCTGCAGTACAGTATTTTTCATGTTATTAATGACAAAACAGAGGATACTTATCGGTGGGCTGATGGCGTACGTCAGCTTTCTTTCGTAGATTTAGATAAGCAGCGTATGACAGGCGAGTGAATCTCTGAAAACGGAAGCCGGCACTTACAAAGAATAAAGCAAAACAGCTGGCCTATTTCAGCCTGGGGGGGCCTGAAGAGTGGGTGGGAAGCTGAATACGGGAAAACCGAATCCTTCACAGCCACATAACAGCACAGGGGTCGGTTCGATTTTTTTGTCTTTTTTTCCAAAAGCCAACAAAGAGAAATTATGTAAAACAAACAGGGCCTCGCAGAGCCGGATTTTAACAAGATTAATTGATTGGCATCCAGACCCAATCAGCCTTAAACAGCTACTATATAAAGATGGTCTGCAGTTCCTACACTGCGCTCCTGGCACAGTTAATAGAGTAAGAGGTGAAGGTGTGAGAGACCTCCTCATGGTGGTGATGCAGTGACCTCCTCATGGTGGTGATGCAGTGGTGATGCAGTGTGCAGCTGGGGAGGCTCTGCTGTGACCCCTCAGCCTCACGCATTGGAAACATGGGAAGAACATTCAAGACCATAATGTTGGCTCAGTACTCTGATTTGAAAGCCTCACAGTGTCCATGTTTTTTGGTTTCTAACACCTATAGACTGTGCGAACACAATCAACTTCCCAGAGCTTCTCACAGAGCAGGGCCTGATGTCACCTCTGACCCCTAACCTCTGACCTTACTGTAGACGTATGCGCATTCTGACAGTATCTTTATGGCCTTTTGTTGGTTGTTGCATGTTATGATTAGAATTTTAAGTGCATAATTCATGCAATTCACAAAAGAACTGTATAAACCAAAACAGAGTCAGGCATGTAATCTTTGAACGGTAACGACGGTTTCATTGTGGCGACATAATTCATTCCCTTGTAACAATAACAATGTTCGCTGGAGAAGCACCAGTCATTTCTCAATCCATAATTTGTGATTAAATCCTCTGCTGTCGCCTGCAGCCCAGCCATGTTTCATGAGTGGTGAAATCCACACGTATGTCACACAGGTGTTATCCAGAAGATTCCAATTTCACAAACTCACCCTGAATTATCCCTGTTTCTTGATTTTTACTCTGTTTTCCTGGATGGGCAAGCGGGGATGTTTTATTTGGCTGTAATATGGACACATCTGCTTGCAAATTTCAAGTAATTATGAATACAGATTTATGGATGAGGTGTTTAAATCACCACAGGAACCATTAAAGGGCACTTAAAGACAGCCAGCATTTTCGTTCATGCGGAGCCTTTGCAAGAAGGCATTCTTCTAACAAAGGGAAAGAGGAGAGCAGCTTGTCCCTGTTCTGGACGACACTCGGCTTACTGGGGTTGAAGGAACGCGGCTCTTAAATGAGGGCCTTGTGCCCCTGGCAGACATTTCAGTGTGTCATCACCTATGATCCTGACTTCAACAGCCAGGTGGGAAAACATCCATTTTCTGCACATGTGACAGTATTGGGGTCAATATACAACAGAGGCTTGAATCCAGAATCCCTGGATTCCTATATAGTAAATAATTATTTCTCAAATAAAAGCCCTAGGGATGAATCCCTCAAATTGTTCAGCACTACATATGTAGGTCACCATGCTGGCTGTGACAGGTGAATACACTCAGTATGGCTGCTGTTGTTATAGTCAGCTAGAGGCTTTGCACTTGGATCACTGTCATGTAGCCATTTGACCATCATTTAGGAGGTTTTGTATGGTTTCACAGCTGATTGAAATCATAAGAAACAAGAT